ATTGGCCAGGAGTGCTGGGAAGTTACAGAAAGGACACCTACAGCCCAAGAGAAGACCATGTTAACATCTCGCATTGAGTGACTATTGAGTGTAGATAGTTAAACAATTCCACACGTCCATTAACAAGGAGGCCATCTATGGCCTGTCTATCCAAAAATAGGTTCACTGACCTCAGCACTGCCTCTTTTCTTCCTACAGTTTTCTGATTGCAACCCCCCTTTGCCTCCTAGAGATTATGTGCTTAGTGCTTCTTCTAAACTATTTCACACAAAGGATTAGTGCAGGCTTGATAAACCACAAGGCATGCAATGCTCTATTGGCTCTGACCTGCATCTATCTACTAAAGAAAGCTAGCTTCTATTCATAAAGAAAATATTCAGGGGTAAAAGTCATAGGCCTCAGTTACACACATGCTTTATTTAAAACAAAACACCTAGCTGCCTTACATTACCAAGCCACCTAATGTTTTGGGCTATAGGATCTACTGCCTCAGTAGGTAACTACCACTCCTTCATCCATCTCACAATACTGACCGACTTGGACCCTCTGGGAACCTACCTGACTAGCTCATCTGCACAGGCAGCAGCCACTTCTTCCTCAGCTTTCCGCTCATAGTATTTACACAGGATGGTCTCTGGGAGTACCTTCTCCAGCTCACTGGTCGGGAACGAACATGTGCAGCTCCCTTCCATGCAGCTGAGCTCTGACTACGTTGGTGAGGGAAGAGAAGAGGAGAATGAAAGTTCCTAAGAACAATAAGGTGTCGCTCGATTCTTTTGAAGCAAGATTCATTCAACAGAACTGAGAGGCCTGAGACAAAGAAAATGTTGGCGCTAAAACTGACATTTCCACAAGTGACCACAGCAGATGTTTGCTTATGTGTAGAGCGAAAGGGAACAGATATATTATGTCAGACAAGTGCCAGACACCATGTAAACACTCCCGCTAATCTCTTCCATCCATATGTGGAATAAACGTATGTGCACCGAGGCAGAAAGAAAACCCTAGCTGTGGGTGCACTGCTAATCAGCTGGACAGCATCTGAATCTCTCTTGCGTGGCCACATGAGTGCACATCTTACAGTGCACTATCCCTCAAATGTTTTTCCATGCTCCCTTATGAGGGCACGCCTGCTTTAAAAACTCTGCCTTAGAGAGTGCAAATCTTGAGCCTCAGGTACCAAGATATTCTACTGTGCAAAACAAAGTTACAACTCAGCTTTTGAAATAAAGACATAGAAAGCAAGTGAAAACAATGTCTCTCTTTTACTTACCCTATTGAGTCTGGCTACTGACAGCAACATTTCCCCCCAAAAGTGTGTAGTTGCCCCTACGAGAACCTCAATTCTGCTTGCTTAACTATGCAATCTCAACAGTTTTTGTGCATTTAACAGAATAAAGCATTAACTATTAATGGAGATATTCAATTCAAGACAAAGATCCCAATATGCAGTTGTTGGTTATCTGCAGCAAGATGAATTTGGTTTTTTGCTACTAACATTTGAGTGTGTTCCACACAAACGGAACACTTTGTGAGACGTGCAATTTGCAGTTCACAAATTCCTCCAGCATACATTATTGATTACCGGAACCTACACACAATGCCTCCATCCACCTTTCATTCTCGTTACGACACACTTACCTTCCCAGAGCCAAAGACTGCCTCCTGAGCATATTTGATTAGGCACTCCTTGCAGAACAAATGACCATCTGCACACTGCGTCAGTTCCTCAAATGCAAATTCCCCATAGCAACAACGGCACTCGATCATCTGACCATCCTGCAAGCCATTCGAAAGATTAATTCCCCCACCATCCAACCTAAGTAGTAACAGTGATAGGGAAGGGGAAATATATTGAGAACCCCATAAAACTAGCACGTGGAGTTAAGATAACAATAGCACCCTGTGAGATACTCTAATCAAATTGGAAATGGGATGAGCATTTTTAACAAGTAAGAGTAGCAAAAGTTTGTAACAGTCAAATAAATGCTTTGTTTGGAGTTTAAATTCCCCAAGAAAGTTAAAAAACTGGAGGCTCTAACCACTCTAATATACTGAGATATAGGACAAGCTAACACGGTAGCCAATTACCCCATGCACACGTTGGTGTATTTGCTAGTCTGCCTAAGTGCTAAGAATTAGGTGATTTAATCTACAGAACAATAAAAGTATCATTAGAGAGGAGGAAGGGGACAGAATGCACCATTCATATTTGGAGACTAGGATTCAAGTTTACTAGCCTACAACTACCTCAAAGGACAGAGCCCTGTGCGGATACAAAATTGTCATCTGCAAAAGTGATCAGATACCTACAGATAGAAAGTGGATATCTGCAGATTTGTAGGGCTCTAGCAAAGGATATTTATCCATATTACAGGTCAAGAACACAGTGCTTTGGCAGCCCTGTTGTAAAGGCAGGGAAGCTAGCACAGGTCCTGTCTGCGGTATAATGGCACTGATGGAAATAGACATGTTCTCGTCCTTGTCAAGACCAACATGCACGCCAAGGTTGGAAGATAATGGATACTGAAAGGAAAATGGTAATCCATGGCAGCTGGCTAGCGCTCCAACTACTCACTCTCTACTGAAATGGAAAAACGGTTTTCAAATGTCTAACAAGCCCCCACTGCAAATAGAAGAGAAACCTCTCCAACGCAGCACTGCAAGAACAGCAAATCTGCTTTAAACCAGTGTCTCTCAACCAGTGGTACGAGTACATTTAGGGGTACTTGAGAGAAGTCTGGAGGGTACATCAACAACTGAGACTTGGAGAAAACGGATTTTTTGTTTTAAGTTTTACAGCGCTTTATTTTTTGTACTTTTTACCCAAAAATTTCATCACCCACCCAGCTACGATTAAGCTGTTTAAACAAATGTGTTGCAATGGTAGAAAAAAAAAATGTGTGTGTCTGAAAGCTGTAGATACTGGTACTGGGGGTACTTGCAATTTAAAAAAAAAAAAAAGGGGTGATTTTTTTGGAAAAAGGGGTACTTTATTTTTAAAAAAAAAAGGGGGTGATTTTTTTGGAAAAAGGGGTACTTTATAAAAAAGGCTGAGAAACACTGCTTTAAACTGCCAAAATGTGTTTAGCAATGGCAACCCTGATATTAATCTACTGCAGTGCTGGCACTGGCCAATCAAGTTATTAGCAGCAACCAAATGAGTTACTACAGATCATTACATGCATCAATACTGCTTTGCTACACATAGTGGTAGACTCAGACTTTTAGAAAAAGTCCCCTCCCTCCCACAGGAGGGTCTGTCAGCTCAGCAAAAGCAATCCTACAGCAAACGGATGGAACATGTGTGGAGGCAGACAAGTCAGCTTAGAAATAAGGGAGTAAATGCAAATGCTTTATTACAAAATGTCAGGTGGATAGAGCTACTGACCTTCTGATACTGCTCCTCATTCATCTGCAGGGCAAGAAGGAAGTCTGCATGCTGAAAAGAGACACGTGCATTTGTAATTATAGAATAATGCTCCATTGCAGGTAGTAAAACACTTTTAAGATTTAAGAAGCAGAAGTATGTTACATGACAGGCTGCCCTCAACCTGTCACTCCAATCAGTTATCCATCAAGCTAGTCAAACCATCCTGGCTATAAACCAAATGCCAGATAGTCAGCAAGTTCAGTATCTTGCAGACAGCGGAGGAGATACCACAGCCAAGAGCTTTTACAGAGAGGATTCTGAGTGCATCTGGCTTCTTTTTAAAGGATTGCCGAATGTGCTGCTAGCTTGTGTTTCTAAACGCCATGAATGGGAAGTGAGAGGAGGGAGAATCGATAGACATTCAACATTTTGTCCAGGCATTTGCATTTCTGCAGCTGAGAGAGGGGACTGATTTCCATAAGAACGGCCGTACTGGGTCTGACCAAAGGTCCATCTAGCCCAGTAGCCTGTCTGCTGACAGTGGCCAGCGCCAGGTGTCCTGGAGGGGGTGTTTCTAAACGCCATGAATGGGAAGTGAGAGGAGGGAGAATCGATAGACATTCAACATTTTGTCCAGGCATTTGCATTTCTGCAGCTGAGAGAGGGGACTGATTTCCATAAGAACGGCCGTACTGGGTCTGACCAAAGGTCCATCTAGCCCAGTAGCCTGTCTGCTGACAGTGGCCAGCGCCAGGTGTCCTGGAGGGGGTGGACCAAAGACAATGATCAAGCGATTTGTCTCATGTCATCCGTCTCCAGCCTCTGACAAACAGAGGCCAAGGACACCATTTTATCCCCTGGCTAATAGCCTTTTATGGACCTAAACTCCATGAATTTACCTAGCTTCTCTTTAAACTCTGTTATAGTTCTAGCCTTCACAGCCTCCTCTGGCAAGGAGTTCTACAGGTTGACTACGCGCTGTGTGAAGAAGAACTTTCGCTTATTAGTTTTAAACCTGCTACCCATTAATTTCATTTGGTGTCCTCTAGTCCTTTTATTATGGGAACTAATGAATAACTTTTCTTTATTCACCCTCGCCACACCACTCATGATTTTATATACCTCTATCCTATCCCCCCCCAGTCTCCTCTTTTCCAAACTGAAAAGTCCCAGTCGCTTTAGCCTCTCCTCATATGGACCTGTTCCAAACCCCTGATATTTTAGTTGCCCTTTTCTGAACCCTTTCCAAGGCCAAAATATCTTTTTTGAGGTGAGGAGACCACATCTGTACACAGTACTCAAGATGTGGGTGTACCATAGTTTTATACAGGGGCAGTAAGATATTCTGGGTCTTATTTTCTATTCCTTTCTTAATAATTCCTAACATTCTGTTTGCCTTTTTGACCGCAGCAGCACACTGTGTGGACATTTTCAGAGAACTATCCACGATAACGCCAAGATCTCTTTCCTGATTTATCATAGCCAAATTAGCCCCTATCATATTATATGTATAGTTAGGGTTATTTTTTCCAACGTGCATTACTTTACACTTATCCACATTAAACATGTTTGAGGGCAGAGGCATCTCTATGAAGTCACCTGTCCTAAAGGATGAGGGCAACTCATGACAGTCTCACCTCTGCCATCTCTTTAATTTTCTGTTCATAGAACTCCTGCTCCAGTTGCACAGGTGGGAGAAGCGAGTGTCTGTCATAAGACCTGAAGTGCCGTCTCTTGTTCTCCAAGAAGAACATCCGCTTCTCAATTTTCACATCACCTGAAGCAGGATGAAAAGGGACCAGGCAGTGAACAAAATCACAATCTTTTATCTATAGCTGAGACATCTCTACTCATTATACAACTTCAAGTGTTTAAAAGCAAAACTGTATCAAAAAGACATTTATTAGTGAGGAATACTAGATAGTGGCAGACATAGTAGAGGTTTAAGGATCAGAGTACTTAACAATGGTACCTTCCGTGGTTGGTGGGCTCCACTTACATTGTGCATAGAGACTACCAACATCACCATTTGACACTTACCTTGCTCAAATTTGAAATCAATGTAGGAAAACTGGTTCATTTCTTTCCTTCGTTTTCGTTTTCCACTGTTTTCAGGAGACAGCTCCTGCCATTTTTTGATGGCATCAGAAAAGGCCTTAAAAATACCACATACACAAGAAAAAGGATGTTAACACAATCACTCCAGATAAGTCTGCTACTCTTTGCAAGAACACAAGAACTGTGTGTATCTATTAGGGTTGTGAGCAGGCAACCAGTTAACCAGTAGGCATCACCCTTACTGGGGGCCCCTGGGTGGGGATGGGGCTGCTCCAGAGAGCAAGTTCCCGGCCCATGTTGGGATCCCACTTAGGTTAACCCAGGGGAGGACAAAAGGGCCTCTGTGGGCTGGATCCGGCCTGCCAAGCAAGTTGATCTGGCCTGCGGAAGCCTTACCACTTCCTCTGCCTGCAGGCCAATAAGGCCTTGGGGAGCACCTGATGTCTCCTCCTGCCCTGCAAAGGGCTCAGCACTTAAAGTCAACTGCCAGCTGCTGCTGAGCTGGCAGTTGACTAAACATGGTGCTCCCTTGCAGGGCAGGGGCAAAGAGTGAGAGACTTCACATGCTCCCCCTCCCAGAACCCTGATTGACCTGGGAGCAGCAGGGGGGAGCGTGCCAAGTCTCCTCCCACTGCGAGGGGCACAGAGTTCCTAAAAGGAACGGCCAGCTGTTGAGAACAGCTGGCAGTTCTTGGGGAGAGGGGGAAAAGAGAGCAAAGACTTTGTGCGCACTCTCACCCACAGATCAGAGTCTGTGGATGGGGAAGCATGGAAATACCCAGGCCCCGCCCCTTCTGGGGCCATTTAAAAAGTTTCCGAAGTGACCCCTGCTCAAAAATTATTGCCCACTGCTGGGTTAACCTAACATTTAACCAGTTAACTGATGAAACTGGGATTTTACATCCCTAGTATCTATTAGAGAGCTACATCTTCAAGTCTGATGTGAAGATGGAGAAGCAGAAGCCTCAGAACTAAGTCTACTTTTCCCTCCTTTACTCATCCTACCACCTCAGCAGGGTGGGAAAACCACAATAACTTGGAAACAGCGTGCTTTATTGTACGGGCACAGTGGAGCGATATACAACTGTCCCCAAGTGCTCTCTCTAATGCAGCAGTGCCAGTACCCAGAAAGAAAGACATGGATACAGGGTGTAATACATTCTGAAGAATGTTTTTGCAGGTAATCTATGAAGGATTTGGGCCCCAATCATGCTCTCTCCAAAGTCAACTAGGAACAAAACTTTTCTACTAAGCATTAATCTATTCCGATGGGGAAGGGTCTTCCAGGAAGTACTGCCCCTTGAAGAGCAGGTTTCAGTGATTTACTCTGCTACATGAATACTCTTCTAAAAAGGAAACTACCTTGCAAGCTAAATCTAAGGGGGGGGGTCAGAATGGCTCAGCAGCCCAGGCTTTTTCCTTAACCAATTCTTCATGAGTCAGGTGCTTAGAAAAGAATGAATGAGCTATGTCACATATCAGCTGTAAGCTACAAAGGGTCTAATCACATCTGCTCATTACTCATCTAATTTAGTAGATGATACTCAAGTATACGTTTTAAGTATAAAACCAATATGTGTGTTTTAAGATTTGGCTAAAATCAGCTTTCCTGGCAAGTATGCCTCCTTTTGGTCATGAGGCCGGGACAGTTCCTCAGGACTGGCTGTGTCACATGGTTATACTGGACAATTCTGAGTGGCCCACTCACTAACCAGCACACCCCATAACCCTGTGTTCTGGAAGAAGCCTAGCAGCAGCCGCCAGACTGAGTACTTCAGAATCGTCACAAAAATCAGCCAGCTATTTCCAACCAGCCAGCGATCCGAAGATCAATTGTACTCCAAGTAAAGGAGCGTTTTTAATAGCAACAGATGGTGCAAAACAAAGGCACCACATCTCCCCCTTCCAGCACCAGCGAGAGGCAGCCTCAGAAAGAAAAGCAGAGTCTGACTGGAGAACCTTTCGTGTGATTGCATAGTGTCCCTTGAGTTCATGTAGTGCCCACTTGATGTCCTGACTGCTCAGCATTTTGAAGTCAGCCATAAGGAGGTCAGCTGCTTGGATGAAGCACCGTTGATCAAGGGGGGCAAGTTTGGAAAAGTCAAAGTAGTCCACTTTAGGCACCTGGAAAGCAAAGTAAAACAGGAGTTAAAGCCAGGCCAGCCTGACCTTCTTTTAAAAAGAAAGAGGCTTCCTCTGTCAGCATTGATGAGTGAACACTGGCAAGACCACCCAGAACTAAACTGACTGTTCGGAGCGTGTGCACAGTGTGTGTAGAATTAGGTTATTCTAAGGCTGAGTGGGTTCATCAGAATAGGTTTAAGATTTGCTCTGTTCTCAAGAGCAGGAGACTGAATATCTATGCTGTCTGGCCCACTTATAACCATTTGAGATCTACTTAAATAAAAGGAAAAAAAGCCAACAGGGAGACAAGGAACATTTCCAGCTACTTTTGATGGAAATAAAATGGGGAAATACCCTGGAGCAGCTAACCAGTCTAGTGCTGAATGGCAGGGCTCCAATGCCACATGAGAATCCGATTAGAATTTCAGTCCACTTCATATTCCAAGGAGCTTGGTTCACAGAAGTGCTGCATATTAATATCAATCACTGACTTACAAGGATTAAAAGGGTCAGGGTGCTTTCCATTTCTCCTTGATTGAAGGAGATAGCATGTGATGCAGGTACATCTGAATGGAAAAATTGGCAAGACCTAGGCATGCACAAGACCCAGTGGGTGAAAGCCTTTTCAAAAGTCATTTTACAAGCAAGCTTTGGATAGAATTATTTTGTATTACAGATATATCCAAGGGCCTTCAATCAAGGCCCTGCTCTGTTAGGCATTGTGCAAACATGGACTCAAAGGAAAACACACCAAAAGCAGCCTAAATTGAATAGGCTTGTGGGATGCATATTAGATATGAAGACACTTTTTCACTTGCCTTTGTCTCATCTTGGCTGGCGAGCAGGCTGCTATTGGGATTTAAAACCACTCTGCCTTCCTTCTTTGGATAATCTGGATTTTCCAGAAGAAAATTACAAAGTCTGCAAAGATAAGTGTAGTTACTTGTTGGGACCTCCCTATATGCATTCCTAAATTTTAGCTTCTTTGAAGAAGCAGCACTATGGATACTCTGCAGCTGGGCTTCACAGGCTAAAAGGTGGCGTTTCATGCAAAAAGGTTTGAAAGATAAAACCACTAGCTTTAACGTAGAGTCCAAACATTTGATCATTCTTTTACTTGATCCTGCACGTAAGTACACAAAGATGAGTGGGTAACATCACAATCATCTCCATATCAGAAAGGAGACAACAAACATGACTGACTCCACTACATTTCAGACAGCTATGACCAGAAAAGTGGCACAGCTTGTACAAAAACACATTTTGAAATTTTTGTTTTAGGATCAAAGAAATCCAAGAGCATGAGGCGTTGCACTGGCCCTGCACCATTCTTTTCATATCTTAGTAAAATCCTTCACCCTCCAACTATCCTCTCACAGAATCAGAGAAGAAACTGTGTTTAAACTGATTTAAAACTAGGGATGTAAAGGGTTAACTGGTAACCCAGAAAGCATCACTCAGTACGTGGTTAACTGGCAGCCTGGCTGGGCTATAGTGATCCCTCACTCACAGGATCCCAGTTAACCATCTGACTTTTTAAATGGGATTTTACATCCCTGTTTTAAACAGGCGGGGTTCGCTCAGGAACCACAGGGGAAAGGAGCAGAGCATTGGCAGCTCCCTTTCGGGTGTGGCTGCGTGGAAGGGCAAAAGTTGGCATAGCAGCAGCGCCGGCATGGGGCTGCTCAGTGGCCTATGTTCTGCGCCTTTCCTGAAGTCTCCAGGGTAGTAGGAAGACGACAGAGCACACCCCCCCACAGCTGAAGTGGGATGGAACATGGGGAGGGGATGGGGAGAGCACAGAGACCGCGGGTGGGGGATGTGTCACATGGAGGGTCACACTGCACCCCCAAGAAATGGATTTTACTTGCCCTACTAGTCACACAAATGGTCCCTAATCTCTCCATCCACACAATTAGATAATACAGCCACTCCCCGACCTATGACCCTCCGTACTTACGACCAAACTCCCATTAACCCCATTATAATATTTTCGAGTTCAGAACCATGCACGTCAACTTTTTCGAACAGCGGGGGCAGCGCGTTTAAGGGTATTTCCGACTTAGAACCGAATCAAGTTATGACCAGGTGTTCGGAACGTAACCCATTCGTAAGTCGGGGACTGCCTGTATGTATCAGAGGTGCTAGGAAGAACATTAAAAGCAAAGAAATCTTTGAATCAAAAGATGCTAGATCACAGCAACAGCATTGGCTGGAGCTAGGAAGAACATTAACTCACTTTTGTGATCAGAAGAGGCTTTAAAAAAGCCAGTCCAAATGCAACATTTACCCACCCTCACAGTTTTAGTTCAACTCTCACACTGAAAGCAAACAGTTATATTAGGCACGGACATAGCGGGCCAGAAAATGAGGTCAAATGCATCTGCAAATGATAACAGAAAATATTATCGTACCCTGCTATATGGGATATTTAAGTTTCATTTTACATCTTAGAGGAAGAATTTTTAAGATGTCCACCTTGGATATCAGCTTTATGCCAAGACACTAGGTAATTGAGAGCACTTGGCATTTTTTAAAAACTGCTGATGTGCAGTGAAATGGAAATTTCATGGTGCTGAAGTCAGAGCAGCTGAAATGTAACAGTTTTTGTTCTGGGATAGTCCAGTTATGTTTTAGTTATTCTATACATTGCTGTTTGGGTGCCTCTAATTTTCAGGGAAGTGAACCGTCAGTATGCCGGACAGGGAAATGGATCGCTCTGTGCAGTGGCCATGCTGCAGTGCTTATTCATTAATATCTGTACCAAAGGACACGGAGTCTGTGAAGAGCCTTGCCACAGCCCTCTAAATCTGGCCATTTTTATTTATCGCATTTCAGCTTCACCTGCCATTGTGATGAAAATGTCCTTCCTTGTAAGTAAGGTTGATCACTGCTCTGGCCAGCTTATTCCAACACACAGGATGTAATGACAACCCAAAAGATAGCTTATTTAAAGGAATAAAAAAAAATACAGGCAAGAAGTCTTACTGTTCTGCAGTCACCCTTAGAGGAGATATTTTGGAATGCTTACCAGATATTCTCTGAACATGCACTCATCTCATTCATACTAGATCAGGGTGGGCAAGAATTTTTTTTAGAAGGGGGGGCACTTCAAGATTTTGGTAAGTGATCAAGGGCTGCACTTTTCTGTGGAGCGCATCTAGGGTTTGGGACGGAGGCTGTGTGCGGAAGGAAGCTCAGCACGTCTGGGGTTTGGGACAAAGGCTGTGTGCAGAAGGGAACTTAGGGTAGGGTACTGGGGTGCAGGAAAGTGTGTGGGATCGAGAGGGAGTTTGGGTGAAGGAGGAGGTTGTGATCTGGTACAGGAGCTTGGGGTGCCGTGTCCAGAAGGGAGTACGGGTAAAGAGGATTCTGGCTGGGTGGAGGGATGTAAGAGGGGGTGCAATGTCTGCAAGGGAGTTGTGGACCTGGGGGAAGATGGGAGGGGAGGTGCACACTTTGGATGATGACCTGGGGCAGGAGTTGGAATACAGGAGGGGCTGGGATTCCAGAGGCAGGCTGTGGCGGGGAGGTGCTTACCTAGGTGGCTCCAAGCCAGCAAGCTCTCTGCCTGTCTCAGTCCCAGGCTGCTCAAAATGGCTGGATGCTCCCTGCAGCTATCTGCTCTGGGTGCTGGGGGAAAGGGTGAGAGAGGAGGCGGCTTCATGTGCTGCCCCCGCCCCTAGCAAAATCTCTGAGCCCATTGACTGGTTTCTGTGAACCCTCTCCTGGTGCATGGAACAGAGAGCCACGGGGAACAGTCAGTCACTGAAAGTGGTGTAGGACTAACTCTGAAACAGTTGGCTGCTCTGTGTCTGAGGTTCCCAGCAGGAGGCCCTGACACGCTGGATCCAGCCTGCGGTCCATATCCTGCCTGCCTCTGTCCTAGATCAATAGGGTCCTAGAGGCAAAACTTGCAAGGTTAGTTCTACTGAACCCTTGCAGGATAATGGGGAAAGCATGCTTTAACACATTAATGTCTCAGTTTCCCATTCATTAGTGGTATCTACCAGGGAAACCTAAGTCCCAAACTCTTGCCTCTAATGGAGAGATTTTAAAGCACAAACAGCTGACGTAACAGACTAGGAATTCTATGACCATTAGGTATTGAATATCCTAGATTTGTTGCTGATTGTCCTATGTAGGATTCTATATAACCTGTACACTCATGCATCCTGATATTGTTCAATGAATTTCCCCATTTAGTAAGACAAAAACTACTTTCAGGTGACAACTGTGAAAACTAAAGCTACTCTTCAATTTTTGCTTCACCATCTGTCATGATCATGAGGATTAGCCAGCAGATTGAAGAGTAAGTGGTTAACCAGATCTAAGCCACGTGGAGTTGGCCAATAGGAATGCAGGTAGGAATTTCAAACTGGGACAAAGGAATTTTTGGTTTCTCCCTCCTTTGTCTCTGGGGCAGTTTTCTCTCCAGCTACTGAGGGAGTCAGACAGAATGTCTCCCTCCAAGAAAAGAATTCACTAAAATCTGTTAGGTTTTATTGTTTTATGGTTTGGGAAATGGAATCTGATGTCCGTGCATTTAAAATGGGTTTTTCTCTCTTTTGCAACTAAGTCTGGGCCCATGGTAGAATTCTCCCTGAGTATATTACTTTGCTACTCTACCATCTAGTCATTATGCTTGCAACAGGAATATTGTGGTGATAATAAAAGTTCTCTCTCTTTTCTTTTCTTAACCCGGTATTGGTTAATTTGTGTGTCCTGGTTTGTACCTTAGGGGTGAGATTTCCCAAGTGATCTCTCCCCTGATTTTCTTATCATTACTTGGGTGGTGGCAACAGAGTTTTTATCCCCAAAATCTAGGTTAAGATTTTGGGGTGGAAGTTTTTTACCAAAGCCTGGAAAGATAAGGTTTTGGGATACTTTTGCGGGGCCCCACTTCTGCATTTATCATGCCAGAGTGGGGAAGGAGCCTTGACACCATCTAATTGGCTATAACATGTATTAGACTACAAAATGGTGTCTTCAGGACATAATGGCTCTACACTACTGACCCCATTGCTGAGGAGGCAAAACACTCGGAGCCACTTCCTCATTTCAAAATCCTGTAATTTACCCAGTTCTGCATGTATCAAGACATTAAACTCCACAACTGCCTGAGTGTCCAGATTTCAGCAAGAAAATGAGGAAGAGAGTAGTTCCATGTTAATTACGTACATTATTCTTTAGTCAGTGTTCAATGGCATTTTGATTCTAGGGTGATCAAGAGATCTCAAACACAGTATTTAAAACACAAACTTTTTTTAGGAGTTTCCAACACAACTGGCAAGTAATTAATAATCCTGAGACTGGTATTCCTTGTCAAAATTTTGCTCGACTTCTAGGCTACCATCAGCAGCTGGTATTTATGAAGTTAACACTAGCAACCCATGACATTTATTAGCTTTGTTTTCTATACACGACAGTCAGGGAAAAATGTAAAGGAGCATGCCACTGCAGTATTAAGGAAAACCACATCCTAGCTTGGGGTGTGTGTCCTGAATACAGTGCCAGCTTCATAAGGAGTACACGCCCAGTTAGTCACAAGCTGGAGAGTAGGAACAAGCAGGAGACTATTTTTTTTCAAATTAGACAGGAAAAGTAAAGTCAAGTCCATCAACAAACCTGCTGAAACCAGCAGGGGGAGGCGGGGGAAGAGAAACCAAGTAAAACATCATAAGGCTATAAACATGGAGGATGGAAATAAGCTATCTAAATGTCTATTGAGAAGTAGGGGAATGCATTTAAGGGAAAATTAGCTTGAAAATTTAGGAAGATTATTTTCCCCTACATGTGAGATCCTGAAGCCTGCGGAATATCTCCCAAGGGAAGGAATTGAAACTTCTGTGCCAGAAGATTTAAAAGCAGGCTGAATAATGTACTAGAAAGAGAGCTTGCAGAACACAATAGCTCCTGACCCAAGAACTTTAAGACTGTGAAACTATGAACATTCCAAAAGTGCGAAGATGCATGGGACCAACATGCCACTCAATTTTGCCGAAAACCCAGAAAAGTATTATTTTAAGCTCTACTTGTATCTGAAGGAGTATTTCTAATGTAGCAAGAGTGTTCTAGACATTCTGGAATAATTCTGTCTCCTTTGAGCAATGCTTTACAAAAAAGTCAACTGAGCATTATCCCTACATAGACACCTACTGGCATTATGCTAGAAGTTTGTGAATAATGAAACAACTGTAGCTGCGACAAAGATTTCAATGAATAGAAACGCTGGAGGCAGAGGATTTTTCAAGTTACCAAGGGCAGAGGTTAGCTAGACAGAAATGGCATCTGGTTTTGCCAAGCAGAGACAATGCCAGATGCAGAGGGCCTTTAGGATTAAGGAAGTATCTATGCTTCTAGACATTCTCAGTACAATGCAGACATCCTCCCCAGCATATGCTGAAGCAGCATGATTAGAGCCAGTGGACAATGAACTGTAGCCAAATTGTTTGTGATTTCATAATGTAATAGTTCCATTAACCAATTTGCTGCTATGTGAGAAGCTTTGGTTCTCAGCTCTGTACTTACACATTTAGGTCATAGCAGTTCTTGATGCGAATTAATTCCTCAACATACTCTCTCTTCACATCTGGGAATCTCGCTTCCTGGGATGGGAAAAGAAAAAAAGGTTTGTTATACTGGAAACTGAAGTCCTCTACAAAGGTGCGCGAGGACACAGTCACTGATGACTGAGCTGTGTGACTTTGTCCTCACCCACAACTATTTCTAATTTGGGGACAAATTATATCTTCAAGTCAGCTATGGGCATCCACATGGCCCCACAATATGCCAACATCTTTATGGCGGACCTCAAACAACGTTTCCTAAGCTCTCGCCATCTAGCACTCTTACTCTACTTGCACTACATTGACAACATCTTCATCATATGGACCCACGGGAACGAGATCCTTGAATTCCACAGGAATTTCAACAACTTCCACCCCACCATCAATCTCAGCCTGGACCAGTCCACACAAGAGCGCCACTTTTGACACTACAACTACAATTAAATGATGGACACAACTCCACCACCTTATACCAGAAACCTACTGATTGTTATTCTTACCTACATGCCTCTAGCTTCCATCCAGGACACATCACACAATCAATTGTTTACAGCCAGGCCCTAAGATATAATTGGATTTGCTCCAGTCCCACAGAGACAAACACCTACAGGATCTCTATCAGGCATTCTTAAAACTTAAAATACCCACTTGGGGAAGTGGGAAAAAAAAACAAATTGACAGAGCCAGACAAGTACCCAGGTATCTGCTTCTTCAAGATAGTCCCAACACGCAGAACAGACCACCACTAAGTCATCATCTACCCCTACAACGAACTAGGGATGTAATATGTAGTCGATTAACCGATAAGTAAAAGCTTATACATTAATGCTATAGACTACATGCATTTTCCCTCCCTCCCCCCTCCAGTACACTTGTTAGCAGGCTGGTCAGCAGCCTGGCTCAGTCCTGGCTTGCGACCATCCAGGACCTACCCGTGCTGCGGCTCTGCATTGAAAGCGTATTAGGAGCTAGGCGGCAGGCAAGTCGGCTCAGTTCTGGCTCGTACCAGATGACATAGAGGCAACAGCATGGAGTAGCTGACGGCTCCTCTGGAGTGGGGCTGGAGTGCACTGGCTGCCAGCCCCACCCCCTGGGGACTATAGGATAGTCAACTAACCAATAAGAATTCATGAGGTTACTCAACTACTCAATTAACCGATATTTAACATCCCTACAACAAATCCCACTGCCAACTCTGTTCACATATCTAAGGACCTAACCACATAAGCCATTACACATCGGGGCTCATACAACTGCACATCCTCTCATGTAATATATGCTGTCGAGCCAGAAATGCCCCATCTGCCATGCATATTGGCGGAACCCAGCAACAAAGGATAAATGGACACAAATCAGACATCAGGAACGGTAACACATAAACCAAAATTATGGATTTAAAAGTAGCCATTCTTCCACAAAGGAATTTTACTACCCAATTACAGAAACACACTGTTGAACTGGAATTCATTTACAAATTTGACATTGTAAACCTGAGCTTGAATAAAGATATTAACTAGTTAATGCATTACAAAGCCAATTTTCCCTGCCTTTAACATTCACATTTTCACTTCAAAAGCTATGAATGGGACACATCCAGCCCACTTAATTAGCTTCAGTAACAGGGGTCCTAAATTTGACAGGTAACTGCTTTTGCTGCTATATATACACACCTTGGACTATGTTATTTCCAACTCCAACTCATCTGATAAAGTGGGCTTTACCCACAAAAGCTCATGATTCTATATATGTGTTAGTCTCGGTGCCAAAGATCTACCCATTTTTAAATTAATGAGAACCATACTGAAGTTGCACACTCAAGCATCCAGAAATTAGGAAATATTAGAATTAAGGTTGCATGGGCAACCTTATACATTATAATTTCAAATCACACATTTCTACAGGAGTCCTGCTTTATTCAGTGCACAGAATGAAACTGCTCTGATGTTGAATCAGGCCTATGTAGTGAAGGAGACACATCCGTAAGATCCATGATTCATATGTTGCCAAAGTCAGACTGTGTAGCGAACGAGGCAGATCACAGGAAGACAAAGGAGGGTCTTAAGGTAAAGACAGCTAAGTGCTATCCCAGAGAACTGAATGCCATTCTTACACCTCTGCTAGCAATGTTAGATATTGAGTATCTGAATAGTCGTGTAACCGCATCAAATCTCAGCAGTCATATGACTATTCAATAATCCTGGGGTGGAGCCAGCAGCCAGTGCTGCTCCCAGCCTCTCTCCTAGGGAGCCCCCTGCTACCCCTTGCTGCTGCCTCTGTATCAGAAGCAGCAGTGCAGGGTGGCAGGGGAGCCAGTTTAAAATCCAGCTCCCCTTACAGACTGGCTGCCTGCCATCCCGCACTGCTGCCTCTGATACAGAGGCATCAGTGTGGGGTGGCAGCAGCCCCTGTCTATGGGGGTCCAAGCTCCCCATGGACAGAGACTGCTCCACAGTATGTGGAGGAGCCTCTGTCCGTGGGGAGCTTGGACCTCCCCCGAGGACAGGGGCTGCTACTGTGAAGCAGCCTCTTCCCACAGGCTGCTTCGTGGCAGCCTCCATTGTGGCCCCCCCTCCTCCTCCCCGCTGATTGACAGAGGCAGCAGCGTAGTGGTGTGGGGAGGCAGCACTGCGGAGCTGGTGCTGGGGAAACCAGCTTTTAAGCTTATTTCCCACCACACCCACATTGCTACCTCTGATACAGAGGCAGCAAGGGAGAGGGAATGCAAGTAGTTAACAAGATTAATCATCTAGTCAGCTACTCACTGACATCCCTAACCCATGCCTGAGTTCCTGTGAGATAGTCAGTTTAAATGACTTTTGTCTAGCTTTTTACAGGTGGCCACTAATTATTAATTGTAGGTTCTTCATTTTTTAAGTGCCCAACTTAAGACACTGTGGTCTGATTTGCCAAAGTAACAGGCACTCAGAGTTGCAACTGAACTAAATGGAAGCCGTGTTTTCAACTCATGAAGAGTTGTATAGGGACACGTTCTGTCCAAAACTCCAAGGCTGTGTCTAGACTAATAATTTTTTCCGGTAAAGCGGTCGCTTTTCCGGAAAAACTTGCCAGCTGTCTACACTAGCCGCTTGAATTTCTGCAAAAGCACTGACGATCTCATGTAAGATGGTCAGTGTTTTTGCGGAAATACTATGCCGCTCCTGTTCGGGCAAAAGTCTTTTTCCAAAAAACTTTTGCGCAAAAGGGCTAGTGTAGACAGCAGAGATTTGTTTTCCGCAAAAAAGCCCCAATCGCGAAAATGGCGATCGGGGCTTTTTTGCGGAAAAGCGCGTCTAGATTGGTCACGGACGCTTTTCCGCAAAAGTGTCCTGCCAATCTAGATGCTCTTTTCCGAAAATGCTTTTAACAGAAAACTTTTCCGTTAAAAGCATTTCCGGAAAATCATGCCAGTCTAGACGTAGCCCAATTGTTTTTAAAAGCTATCAATGCAGAGTAGGCAAGCAACTGCAGTGACTTCCTCAGTGAAGACAGCACACAGACTACATACCGTTTCTTTGATGAGTAGTGCTGTGAGGTCTTTATCCTGTCCAGCAGCTCCTTGCTCTGGAATGTTACCAGAGCCAGGCTCATGTGATCCCTGTGCAGGGAAAGCTGGGCCTGGCTGTTCATTGTCTATTGCTGCCCACTGGCTTCTTATTTCCTCAGGTGGATGAGCTGGTTGAGGAGAAGCAGGGCCGGGAATCCCATCCTGTTGTGGCTCCGGTCTGGGAAAGGCTGGCCCAGGGTTCTCCTCCCGGTATGCCCTTAGCAAAGAGCCCAGCTCTGCTTCAGGCTGCCCTTGCTGTGGAGCACAGCAGTTTGCTACAATATGTGGCTCATTGTCTACAGGCTGGAAATAAGGATGATCCAAACGACTGTTGTCTCTGGTGGCCTGTCCACTTGCTGCTGTTGCTGCAGCAGCTGCTCCTCTGAGGTTTTGTATGAGCTCTTGTTCCAAGTCTTCAGCCTCCTGGTTCTGTACTTCCAGCTTTTCCTCCCATTTAGGTAGGAAGCCAGGTTCCTCCAGGTTGATTATTTCCCTTTCACCTGTGGGTCTTGGGTTTCTCTTTATTGCTTGAACCACACTTGGTCCAGGCTCTGAATCACCCCCTCTTTCACCTCTATGCCTACAGTGTTCAGAGGGTCCAGGCAGTGGAGAGGCATGGTTTCCATTCTTGTCTCTGCCTGCCCCTGCATTGCTCTCCCCTCTGCGGTTACAATGGGGTCTCTGGCACACCACACAAGGCCAAACATCCTCCTTCCGATGTAAGCTCTTCAGTGCCACAACGTCATCTTTAGATACTTCTCCCAGCTGGTTCATTCCTGGCCACTGAGCAGCGGATCTGATGACATTGGGACGCAGAATCTGCTGTTTTGAGGCCTGAAAAGAAACAAAAACTGAATAGTGGGAGTTCCCCCTTTTAGCACATGTCATGAAGTGGTCCTGTCTAAATCAGGGGTGGGTAATAATTTTTGATCGGGGGGGGGGGGGGGGGGGGGGTGCTGCACTCATCCATTTATATGAATGGAGGAGGTGTGGGGTCTGGGATGGAGGTTGGGGGCAGAAGGGAACACAGAGAAGGGAATAGGGTGCAGGAGGGGATGCAGAGGTATGGATTGTGGTGTAGAGCAGGAGTGGGGGGTGCAGGGTTTGGGAGGGGATATGGTTGCAGAAGATATGGGTTGTGAACTGGGGCAGGAGTGTACTTGGGGGGCAGTGTTGGAGGGAGGTAGACAATGGGGTGCCAGGTCAGGCTCTGGCCCAGAAGCACTTACCTTAGCTAGCTCCCATCCAGCTGCCTAGTGGGACCCTCATGCAAGCTCCCTGCCTGCTGTGTTGCCGCTGAAAGCAGTGGGCTGTAGAGACCACGTGCTCTCTGTGCACCATATGCCTCTTGATGGGGGGGGAAGGGGCCTTCGTGCACTGCCTGCGCTGCAAGCATGGCCCAGGCAGCTTACACTGGCCAGTTTCCAGCCAATGCAAGCTGCAAGATTGCACTGGGGGGGGAGGGGGCAGCGAGTGAAGGCCCCCCCCCGAAGGCGCGCACATTGTGCTAAGAACACATGGCCCTCCCAGCTAGCTGCTTTGAGTGGTGTTCGGGGCACAGAAGCCAGGGAGCCTACCCAAGGTTACCACTAGGCCATGGGACAAAAGTAAGCCAGATCCAGTGGTTTGGTGGATGGATCAAGCCCATGGGCTATATTTTGCCCACCCTGCTCTAGATGACCTATGCAGTCAACTAAAATTTTGGTCTGGGGCAGAGGAAGTAAGATGTTTAGCAAGCAATAGGACAAGGGATCCAATACGGAGAACGTCTTATGCACCAGATAAAAAAAGCATATTGAGAACATTCATTTAAAATCCAGATCTCCAGATCCATGTTAGAGTTCAACAAGGTTAAAAAGTTTGGCCACAAAGCTATTTTAGTTAACCATAAAACTCTAATGCTTACATTGTCTTCAAGTATTACACTTATGTTAAAACATACCACGAGACACTAAATACACAATCATCTCAAGAGATCCATTTACAAATTAGTTGTCCCCTCTGACATGAAGAAAGCATGGATTCTTTTTGTAGTACACCAGGCACTCTGTGTCCCTATACTGTACTAAACCCTGGCACTGCTTAGACAGGAGAATTCAGTGACAATGCTCTTGGACTTCACCTTCCCCCAGCAGCAGTGCTGAGGGAAACCTCAGAGATATTTCTGTATTGACACCCTCTTCCCCAAACAAGGATATCCATCTACAAGAAACCAGAGAGAAACTGTTCGGAAGGTGATGTGGCAGAAGTGGAGCTGGTAAGCAATTATAAAATTGCATTAACACTATGTGAGACGAGGTCAGCAGCAAGGAGAAGTTTTGTATTCTACACTGTAAGGCTTTCCCATGTAAATGAACTGACCTAACTTGTAGTGGAGCTGTGGGAAGAACAAACGAGGGAAGCAAAACAATGCCTTCACAGATCAGAACACCTAGGCACACACTAGAAAGACAATGGGGCACAGCTGTTAACTTCATAAATGCAGTATCTTGTCTCCAACTACAGTAAACTTCCAATAATTCGGCACCTTTAGGACTCAGGGGATGCCGGATTATCAGATACGCCAGACTATCAGAAGGGTGGGCTATGAGGGGTCTGGAGTGAGGTGGGAGGGGATGCCACCCCAGATCCCTCATAGCCCCCCCCTTACCATAGTCCGGCTTTGCCCCAGGCGTCCCTGATTCAGCCGCTGCTGGTCAGTTTCAGCAGCAGCTGAATCGGGGATGCCTGCAATAGAGCAGCTGGAGTGCTGCCGGGTTGGTCCCGCAGCCCTGAGGGGCAGCGCTACGAGACCAACCCAGCAGCACCCCAGCTGCTCTGCTCCTGGCTTCCCCGATTCAGCTGCTGGTCAGTTTCAGCAGCAGCTGAATCGGGGATGCCTGCAATAGAGCAGCTGGAGTGCTGCCGGGTTGGTCCCGCAGCCCTGAGGGGCAGCGCTACGAGACCAACCCAGCAGCACCCCAGCTGCTCTGCTCCTGGCTTCCCCGATTCAGCTGCTGGTCAGTTTCAGCAGCAGCTGAATCGGGGATGCCTGCAATAGAGCAGCTGGAGTGCTGCCGGGTTGGTCCCGCAGCCCTGAGGGGCAGCGCTACGAGACCAACCCAGCAGCACCCCAGCTGCTCTGCTCCTGGCTTCCCCGATTCAGCTGCTGGTCAGTTTCAGCAGCAGCTGAATCGGGGATGCCTGCAATAGAGCAGCTGGAGTGCTGCCGGGTTGGTCCCGCAGCCCTGAGGGGCAGCGCTACGAGACCAACCCAGCAGCACCCCAGCTGCTCTGCTCCTGGCTTCCCCGATTCAGCTGCTGGTCAGTTTCAGCAGCAGCTGAATGGGGGAAGCCTGTCCGGCTGCCCCAGCACTTCCGGGTTCCTAATGGTGCCGGACCATCAGGAGTCCCGGAGCATTGGATGCCGGACTAATGGAGTTTCACTGTATAAACCTGGTGGTAATGCTGGGGCCTGCCTTCCAGATTGAAGGGATGCAAACAGTTTAAAAGTGAATTCCTGAAGAGGTAAGGGCATTTGTCAGGAGCTGTCTAGAGAGCCAGGCTGTCGGAAAAGAGAAGTTCTATGAAAGAATCTAAGGAATTGGGTCTGTCCAGATCCAGGGGGTGGTAATGGGGAGGAGGGGAGCATTATATTTAGGCTGATTTACTGTTTTAAAATGTTTCTCTAAACGTTGTTATAAAAAATACATACTTTGGTCACGAATTACCATTGCCCCAGCAGGGCTAGAACTACAGAAACTGTGTCTAGATCACACCTGCTAAGTTGATCATGGTTATCACAAAGGGGACTGTACCCCACGCCCAATCAGAGTGAGAGAAATGCTTCTTTCCACCTCAAGAAAGAGGTGATGGCCCACGACGCAAAGCAGTGCATGTGGAGGGGAGAAGAAAGTGTTAGAGGTGCAATTAGCCCAAAACTGACAGTTCAAGAGCAGTAGTCATAGGCACCCAAAGTATAATATATAGGCATTAAAGCAGGCCACTGGTTTAATATACAGAAATGGTTAAATTTCAGACCATATGACACTAGCTTTAGTCATTAACATGAAAGGAATCAAGCAAACAGTCATTGCACACTTGCCCTACACAGTTTCGCTCCCAATAAGGCTGGAAATACAGTCAATTTACTACCTATGGGAGGCTCCCCTCAGGTATTAATGGGTCAGGACGTTCTGGTTTCTAACGCTCAGCTTTGATCACTGGGACATGCCATGTGTTTAAGGGATCGATGGCTCAATACTCAAATATATCCCCACTTCCCTAAGTACAAGTACAGAAGCTTACGTCAGGGGACAGGCAAGAATTTCATGCCCTGGACTGCAGAAGTGGCCGACACACGCCCATAAGTCAAGTGAAGTTCATGATCACCCTCATTTTAGATATGGAACATCCCTAAGAGACTACACATACCAGTTTACGGTGCTCCACCTTTTTTGGATTATGAAAGAGTCATCATATGCTGGGAGCTGTAATCTTTTATGGCTCCACCACGGTCTTAACTAGCATGGCTTTGTTAACCTCACTTTATCCACATAAGACGGAGAACCTGAAATCCAAAAAGGTTGCCAATGCAGTCATCAGCTAGCGCTATACTCAGGGGTCCCTGCTGAATATGCTACCACAGTGGTCACTGTGAGCACTGAAGAAGCATGTTATTTACCTACACTACAGATTGTTTAAAGCAGCAGCAAATGCAGTGACATGTACAATATATGAAAAACAAAATCACCTCCACGAGGATGACTACATCGTCGTCATCTTCCTCCTGCCGCTGCTGAACTGGTGTGTCTAGCAACAAAGGCAATTCTTCATCTGAGGAGTCCGATATGGTGATAAGTCCTTCATCTCTCCTGTCTATCCAGCCTGCAGTAAGGCAGATAATGTTATCTATCTGCTAGAGGTTCACATCAGCTCAAATATTTAGGTCCTACAATTTGAATCTTTAATTAAAAAAAAAAAAAAAAGTCCTAACGTTTGCATGGGGGGGGGGGGAGAAGGAGAAGGGGCTCACAAGGCACTAGTGCCATTTTTAGAGCATCCCATCACCAGTCAGCACACTCATGTATGGAAATCTGTGGACGTGCAAACCACAACACAAAACGCCCGAAAGAAGCATACGTAGAACACATGTTTCTTTGGTGCTGTGCACAGCTTCATCTCAG